AGTCCATCGGCCGATCGCATCTCACGGAATCGGACAAGTGATCCCGAACGATTATGAATGATGACGAATAAATCTTTGACGGAAAATCGGCCGTCAGATTCCGTCTCGGCGATCAAGCGGGACGGAGATCGGCGAGAGAGAGGGAGAGAGGGAGAGAGAGGGAGGGAGGAGAGAGAGAGGGAGAGAGGGAGAGGGAGGGAGGGAGGGAGGGAGGAGGGAGAGAGAGAGAGAGAGAGAGAGAGAGAGAGAGAGAGAGAGAGAGAGAGAGAGAGAGAGAGAGAGAGAGAGAGAGAGAGAGAGAGAAGAGAGAGCGAGACAGAGATCGAGAGACAGAGAGCGAGAGAGCGAGAGAGAGACGAGAGACAGAGAGAGACCGAGAGATAGAGAGAGAGAGAGAGATCCGTAACAATCATTTGTCAGAGCGCCGCCATTCATTATCCTTGACTGATTAATGAAGGCGATTTCACGTCCGCGCGAAGACAGGGCTCTAAGGACTAACTCGACGTGGCGGCGGTGCGGGGAAGCGACCTTACGACCGCCGCTGTGTGCTGAGTCTCGTCATTACTGCGGGGCGAAACTCGTCAAACAAACCGAGCCAAGTTTATAACGAAGTTGTCGCCGCTAAAACGAGTGTGTGTGCGTGCGTGTGTGTGTGTGCGGGTGTGGGGGGGGGGAGGGGGTTGTACGTATGTGTGTGGGGGAGGGGGGTGTGGGGGGGGGGGGTTGTGTGTGTGGGTGTGGGGGGGGGGTTGTGTGTGTGTGAGGGGGGGGGGGGGTTGTGTGTGTATGTGTGGTTGTGTTCTCTCTTTCTTCTGTCTCTCTCTCTTCCCTCTCTGTCTCTCTCTTTCTCTCTGTCCCTCCCTCCCATCTTTCCCCCCTTTCCTATTCCTTACTCTTGGAGGCTCCCCGTCCCTCTGTCTCTCCCTCTCCCTCCCTCCTTCCTTTCCTCCTCTCCCTCCTTCTCCCTTCTTCCTCCCTCCCTCTCCCCTCCTTCCCTCTCCCTCCCCCTTCCCTCCTCTCCCTCCTCTCTCCTCCCTCTCCCTCTCCCTCCCTTCCTCTCCCTCTCCCTCTCCCTCCCTCTCCCTCCTCCTCCCTCCCCCCTTCCCTTCCCTTCCTCTCCCTCCTCCCTCCCTCTCCTCCCTCCACTACTAATCAGCATCCCACGTAAACCCGGGAGATTAATCGCCCTTACGTGATGGCTTGATCAGTGACGGGCGAACGACCTGTATCGCTCGTTGTTGCTGCCTGGTTGGCTCGTTGGCTCGTTCGCTCGTTCGGTGATTTATCGATTGGGTGTCCGATAACACTCTCTCTCTCTCTCTCTCTCTCTCTCTCTCTCTCTCTCTCTCTCTCTCTCTCTCTCTCTCTCTCTCTCTCTCTCTCTCTCTCTCTCTCTCTCTCTATATATATATATATATATATATATATTATATATGTATGTATGTATGTTTATAATATGTCCATACCTAAATATTGGTTATCTAGAGTGCAATCCATTTCAAACAAGAAGCTTTCACAACGCATATTCCATAGCACTGAGCGATGCTGTCCTCCTCCTCCTCCTCCTCCGTCTTACCCCCGTCCTCCTCCTCTTTCGTCTTCCCCCTCCTTCTCCTCTTACCCCCTACCCCCATCCTCCTCCTTACCCCCGTCCTCCCTCCTCTTCCTCCTCCTCCCCTCCTCCCCTCCTCTTCTCCCCCTCCTCCTCCCCTCCTCCCTCCTCCCCAGCAGGAACATCAAATATAATTGCACCTTCATTACCATCTGATGCTGAATAATCAACCGCAGGGTAATTAAGAGAATAGAGACACGATATCTCTGTAGCTCGAGATGATTTGCAGGTGATGCTCCGCGACCTCGAGGGGTGTTGAAGGGAGAAATTTATTGTTTTTTTTTTTTTTAAGATTAGGTTCATGGAGGAAATGCATGCAATATTTAGGATATATATATATTTTACAATTTAGTAAATTACTATTTTTTAGAATTACTTTAGATTCATGGAGGAAATACATACAATATTTAGGATATATTTTTTTCTACAATTTAGTAAATTACTTTTTTTTATTACTTTAGATTAATGCAATATTTAGGATATATATTTTTTTTTTACAATTTAGTAAATTACTATTTTTTACAAATTACTTTAGATTCATGGAGGAAATGCATACAATATTTAGGATATATATTTTTTATAATTTAGTAAATTACTATTTTGTAAAATTAGTTTCATGGAGGTAATTTACACTATATTGATGGTGGATAACTATGTTTGAATGTTTGATAAATTATTGTTTCTTTTAAGATTAGTTTCATGGAGGTAAATTATACAATATTGATGATGGATACTTCATTTAAATATATAATGAATTATTGTTTTTTTTTATTTGTTTCAAGTAGGTAAAGTACATAATATTGATGATGGATGATTTAATTTGAATATATGATAAATTACTGTTTTTATTTTTAAAAATAGTTTCACGGAGGTAAAGCACACAATATT